GGAAAAATAAAAATCAAGTTTAAGTCATTTTATTCGACTTTACGTCTGTCCGCCACAAATATTGAAGTCGTAATATCACTAGATAAACGTTTAAAGCACATAAAATCATATTAAAATATATACAAGTATGTACTGTATTTACAGTACATGCATTCGTAAATTTAGATTACTTTTTTTTGTACTATATTAAAAACTAAAATTTATTTGTTTGTAAGCTTAAAATAGATTTTTATTAACCATATATTATTAAAAATGCATTAATAAATAAAATACAGAACCAGGAATGGTAATTTACGGTTTAGCCTAGTGATAAGTAAATTCGGAGACAAGTAAATTCGACTTACGTCGTTTTCCTGGAACCAATTACCGACGTAAGGCGAGGTATACCTGTACTTAAATTTGTAATCGGCATGCATGACAATTTTAAATCATCGTGCTTGTCATGACACAATGATGCATGCATTCAAATCTCTTCTGTCATTACCTTTTCCATTATGCATTATACACTCTACAATAATATATATATTTTTTTCATTTTCCTGGTTTAATATCAAATTATCTGAGATTTGCATGACTTTTCCCTGATGTAATAAATTCCCTGACATTTCCCAGTTTCATTGAACACCATGATAATGTAATAAACTTTTTATTGACCAATTAAAAATTAGAAATTGTCATTATTCATCATTTATATCAAAGTAGAGGCCTAAATGTTTTGATTAAATTCACACTAAAATGTGTAAAGCATTTTATTTCTAAAATTATATTAATGTTTCTGTAGTTATGAATACAGTGAAGGATAATCCTAGTAGAAATTTTAAAAGCTATCCATATGTTAATCAAATGTAGAACAATACAGAAATTTTATTTGATGACTTAAATTTTATAACATTAAATCTTCTTATTACTTAATTTCATTAATGAGGAAATGACAATCAATTTTTGATGATAAGTATTTTTAAAGTGCAAATTAAATTATAAAAATGCTGAAAAAACAAGTTTTCTTATAGTGCATTATATATAATAAATATATTTAATATGTTGAACATGTATGCAGATGTAACTTAAAACAGGGTACCCCAAAATTTTTATTTTGTTAGTATACTATAATATATTTTTTTAGATAAATTTATCTTTTATATTTATTAAAATTTAAATAGAATATAGGATAAAAAAATATATATCAGTAAATTAATATACATATATACATCATGTTTTCATAAGCAAAATTATAATATAAATTTTTTAAAAATAAAAGTTAGTGATGTATGTTATAATTATGAATAAAAACCTACTGATATAAAAAAAATTACACAAATTTAACAATACCTTGGGTAAATGTTTCCAAACATGAAATGCATGAATTGCACCCTTAGCAGATATACTACAAGTGGATAGAGTGTAATCATTTGGAATAATAGAAAAACTCTTGTAACAACAGCAAATACATCTGAACTTACAAAATTGTTCAGAAAATTCTGTAATAAAAAGAGAAATTACTTTGTCTAATACTACAATATTCTATATTTTAGAATTTGTATTTACCGTAAATAAATATACTCATTGACAAAAAAGTTATGCACCAAGTTATGCACAAGGAGGAGGCATTGTCATTATATTATATGAACATTGAAATCAAATGAAATCTTATTAAGACAAATATAGAGACAATTCCCTGTGGAACAATGGTACAGTTTAAAGGAATTTTTAGAATCTCATTGGAGCAGCAGTTGCTTGGATACACATGCCAATATGGTCAGGCATGAAGACATACAGGCATTATATGCTATCCTGCAACAAATTTACCTATGGATGATCCAGATAAGCTGGCATCCTATCTGTCTCGGTTGCTTGATAGGTGAAAATTTGGAGACAGAGCAGGCCAAAAAAGTAGTAACATGTGACATTCCTGGGAAACCCTAGCTGTGTGCATCAAGTATTATCTTGCTGAAAAATACCTTTTATAGCTAGGCTGCAAACAGACAATACATAAGGGCACAAGATTTTCTGTGCATATTGCTTAAATCAATGTTCTTCACACAAGTACTAGGTATGACTGACTGTCATATGGGATGATTTCCCAGACCAACATACCAATAGTATGGAGAGTAGTGTGCCAATCAGTAAAGGCAAGATTGAAGTACACTCATCTTGGTTTTCACATCTTAAAATGGTGATTGTTTCCAAACAAAACTAGGATTCATTGCTAAAGACAGTATGCTGCTAGTTCATCAATATAATCTTTATTAACAATTGCCTAGCCCAGTGTTTTTCAACCTTTTTCTTATTGTGGACTGGTAAAATTATAGATAATTTTGTACAGATCAAGTAATTATATGCAGCTAAGAATTATGTTTATTTATTAAGCTTATATATTCTTATCTAGAGTTATTGTATGTAACAAAGTACTCACAGTAACTATAGATTACTATTTAAAATGTCACTTGTAACTAACTGCTCCAGCTTCAGTATGGTCAAATATTTTCCTTCAGACTGACAGTTGAAAAAACACTAGCCTAGACTGTAATGAATAACTAGATAGAATACAAAATTAGAAAAAAATTTTACACGTGAAAACATGGTAAGAAAGTGTAAAAGTACAGATAAATTATGGAAACCGAAATAAAAATATATAAGAATATAATATGATAAAAGTAACATGATGATGAGGACAGTTGCAAGATTATTGAGGATTGTTCATATTCTTGAGTTGTTGCCTCCTGGTATGATGTGTTTACAGTTCTTCAAAAGGATGCATGATTTGATTCATTGTTAGTCAGAAGTTGATCAAGTTCATAAGGCTACCTACTGTTATAGGAGTGGAGCATAAGGCTTAGTCTTAGCTTAACATCATTCAGCATAAGCAAATAAAAAAAGTAATGATAAGCAAAAAATGCCTCAGTGACACTACAGGTAATGCAGATCATTAGTATAAATGTTTGCTGAAATGAAAAAGGGAATACTGAAAGTCACCATTATATTTGGACAGAATGCATTATATTATGATTTGAATGTAGCCAGTACTTATTGACATAGTTGCTGATGATGTGAATCATTTCATTAGGTGATTCATCCCAATTATGCTGCCAGAGCAAAGTACAAAAAAATACAGACTGTATTAAGAGTGTTAATTAAGCAACTTAATTAGCATATGACAGGTTGCAATCGCTTTCATTGCCAAGAATGCCAGCATAGTCTTGACACAAGAATGCACTGCTATGCATTTGAAGTGGTGTTATGACAGAGTAAAAAACTGTCATAACACCACTGCAAATGAAGTTGGCAATGTTGGTGTTCTAATGGCAGGATGCATAGCAATTGTCACTTTATGCAAGTTTGCTTGTCACACATAATCACCTGCTAGTGATATGGAAAAAGACAGGGTTCTGCATCAAGGCTTTCACCTGTTTCTGGATGATAGTCAGAAACATTGCAGCTGTCTGTGCTAGTCTCATGGTCAGATGAACATCTCTCCTGGTCTGTCTGTCTGGGGCATTTAGAACCTGGTTGCCATATATTTGTGCCCTGGTTTATTCACTGCCCCAACACCACCTCAGTCAGATAAGAATAATGTAGATGGCAAGTATCAATAATAGACTAAACACACCTCCAACCTATATTCCAACTTAATGTTTTCATATGTTGATAGCAAGTAATTAAGAAAAAGAACCATCCTACTTTCTCAGTCCAATGATTCAGTCTTTCTCAAATTCTATCAACTATGTATAATGTCTTTGATTGTGTCATACAGACAATACCGAGCATTCAAATACCTCAACACAGCAGATACATTGCAAATTCTGAAAACAGTGAACCTCTGCAAGCTTTTTTGTAGGATAATAGGATACAATTTCAAAACACTCTTGTGGCATTAGGTGGAGTACAACATGACCACAACTGTAATAATTTATATACTAGTCTGAGATATAAAATTGTCTACTTACTGAAAAACTCTGCATATGGATTTCTGTGCACTTAACTTTTTTATCAATAAGTGTATTTCCATAACAAAGTGTTTATAATATTACTGTGAAGTTTCTCATGCAAAAAGTCAAGCTATCTGCATTTCAGGATAATATTTTGTATATTATACGAAATATTACAAAAATCAGACACAAGTCATTCAGTTTGTTTTTTTGCATATATGGATTTAGTTTTTAAATTAAATTATTATTTATTTTCAAGAATGATATCATTAAAATGATAATTCAAATTTGAATAATGAAGAAAAAAATGCTGCCTGAAACTTGCAAACTGCTTGAAAAAATTTTTTATTTTTCTAATTAAAAATTCTAGTCCCACAAAGTTGTTCTTTTTGTGATACTAGTAAATTCATTAAATTCAATTCAATAAAATTTGGTATATGTTCACTTGTTTTAAATAAGTTGATAAATTTATTAATAATATATCATCAAATAAAAAAAGTGCATAGTCAATAATTTCAGCAATTTTTTTACTGTTTAGTCAAAAACCTAAATTTCTGCTGAACTATTTAATGTAATCAATAACTTGAATTCTTTAATTAGATTCTATTAGTAATTATGATTTTAAAAACATCTATTTGAGATATACCTCATAGAAATCTATATTTTGACGATAATTTAAATGACTTATTTTATGTTTTATAATAAATTAAATCTATTTATTATATATTACAAGGATCAAAATAAAGAATAACTTATAAGTACAAATTTTATATTTTTTCAATAAAAACCTACTTACGTCAGCAATGCAATGCTTTTCAAGAGGAAATGAAATATAAAAAACAACACCAATTGTTAGATAAGTACAAGCTACAAGAATATATGCAATACCTAAATCTCTACTCTGCAATGAAAAAAGAAAATTTTTAGTAGGAATCATTATCAATAAAATTAATATTTTTTTTAATCTTACATTATTTTCAGGTTTTTCTTGATTGCTCATGATTGACATTACAGCATTATGAATAAAATATGCCAATGAAAGCACACCAGAAAGTGCTGGAAAACTTGTCTGAAATACTGAAATTTTAAAATTACAATATTTTAATTAATAAATTTATTTGAATTATAATATAAATACATACAAATTATATATATTATAATTCTAAAGTTATATTCAATATTCTGCTGTTTTGATATTGTGTAAAAATCCATCATGAAAATTTTTTATGGATAGTGTTTTCTATTTTCTAATGGTCCTTTAATTTTAATATTAATTAGAAATACATAACTATATATGACTAAAAAATATTTATAAATAAATTTTTCAATTAGAAAATTAACAAAATATAATAGAATTATTTTAAAGTCAAATGATACAAATTAATATTTAAAAACTTACAAGGTACAAAATCAGTGCTTTTTTCATTATGAACTTCAAAATGAATTCCCCAATGCACAGCTTTTACTATTACAAATACAATTAAATACAAAACTGATAAAGTTCCTATAAATAGAAACAATAGAATTAAATTAAAAATAACATAAAGAAATTAGATTGTATTTAGATAGTAATTTTACCTAATGCATTGAATTTTGTAAAGAATGTTGGTGACTTTAAACATATAACTGGTCCAAGAAATACAGCAATATAAAGAGGAACAGTCTTTTCTAGATTCCAATATGTGTGAAATATATCAGATTCTGAGTGATTTCTAGATGAACTAATCAGATTCACTTTATCTGTCTCATTTGAAGATACAGGTTGACTTTGAAAACAGTATACTATGAAAATTAAATTATATAAGTATTAAAAATTTTAGATCATGTTAAATTAAAACTATAAAATTTGACTTAATTTTTAAAAAATGCAAAAAACTTAAATAAAATTATAATTTAATTATTCTATTACAGTACAGTAGAACCTCGAAAACTCGTCCCTCGATAACTTAGCACTCCGGATAACTGGTCCACACCTTGGCAGGGCGAAAAAATCCTTAGTTAATTAATTTTCATTATAGACAGCTTTATAAAAGTATAAAAGCTCTCATAAAGTATTTTTCTGAGGTTTGTCTTATCAGGTAAATTACTGTACACAGTGTATTCATTAATTTTCATTTTTATGTAGTGGCTCTATGCCTTCATAAAGGACGTACTTTTCCTTTGTTTAAGGGTATTTGGGCAGTTTATTCTCTGTTATATTCTGTACAAGTAAATACTGTACAAGTACAGTACAGTATTTTCTGAGGAAATACTCGTACTTATTTTTTTTAACCCCATTCCCGATAACTCGGCATTTTCACAAACTCGGCCACCCTTCGGTCCACATTAGGTCGAGTTTTCGAGGTTCTACTGTATTATGATTATAGTAATTTTTATAACAAATATATTATAGTTAAACATTTAACTTTACAACTTAAAATTATCAGAATAAAGATGACTCAGACAGTATGGCATCTGCAAATCATGTAGAAGTGAGAGTTTTCAGAGATTGTTATTTTTAATGGATCTTTCAAAATATCTATCAGAATTATGCCAGGAATCAAAGGATGACTGTGTACAATGTTTTGTATGTCTAGTATTGAAGAATGACAATGCAACCATATACTTATTGCTGTCTTATTATTTTGTACTTATTATTGTATTAATTGTACTTATTATTGTCTGAAAAGAATCTCGTCATTTAGGTATAAAGAAAGGCATTGCTTCAGTTATCATTTCAGTATATACATCTATTCATTTTGCTGCTAATCTGAAAGATTCACACATTTCATTTTTGGTTTGAAATGGGTAAAATTGTAAAGCAAATAACCTAAAAGTCTTATCAATAAACTTCACTCTTTTGATTTTTATTCTTTCAAGAAAGAATAAAAATCAAAAGAGTGAAGTTTAGCCACTTAGGTAAGAATTATTAACAACAAATAAGGATAGAAAGATTGATAAAAAGTAAGTTTAATAATATAAAGTATATACGAATTAGTGTAAATATTAAAAAAGAACTGTGCTGAATGCCCATTGGAAGTTCTCCTCAATATTTCTGGAAACCTTCTGTGAATAATTATGTAAGGATAAATTCAATATACAGCTAATATTTAAGTTAATGTTTGAGTTTAATTAAAAACTGGGTTCTTTTGAAGACTTTTAAAGGAAAAAATTTTTTTTGGAAGGAAGCATTATTATGCATATCACCATAAAAGAATAACACCATTAAATGCTGTGAAGTTTAGCTGTGTTGTTTAGGAATTTTCTGTGAATAACTTTCGAAGTCTAGTAAAGTATAGTGTATGATTCCCGCTTGTGGAAATACGTCAAAGGATGGAATTTTTGATTTTAAAAGGGTTTTAAAAAGGTATGTTACTCGTAAAATATAAAAAATTTTAATGATGATTTTTAAATTCATATGTCGGGTCATAATGTGTATAAGGTTGGTTTTATATGTTTCTAGTTGACTGAAGAGGGGCAAAATGAAGCCCGAAACGTGTGTAAGAACGCGTCTCAACAAAAACTGAAATAAATGAACGAGTTATGCCAAGTGTTGATTATTACGCTGCATTGTGGTTTTGAAAAACTAATATTCAGATGACATGTTAAATATTGGATATCTGATAAAACTAATTATACAGGGTATAACTTGAACTCTCTGCCAATATTTTAGTGATAGATTCTAAGGTCAAAAATAAGCCTAAAATCCTTATAAAAGTTTTACAAAATCCACTTTATTTTTGAGATATGGCCTGCCAAAATGATATCATTGTTTGTTTTCCACTCATATGTTACCAATACATATTGAAAACAAACTGAAGCTTTTTAAGTATTGAAAATTGGTTTTCTGAATGTGTTAGCCAGTGTGTGCAAGTCTCTGGGTTGTTGTATGCATTAGTGGAAAATATTTTGAGTAGTTCTTGTAAATTATTCTGCTTAATTCTGTCAAAAATGAAATGTTGATCAAAGTAAATTTACATTAAAAAATTCTTGCTTTCCAACTATTCTTTAATTTACTGTAAAACAGATGGATAATGCAAAATCTAAGTGAATAAAACTTTATTTACATTTATTACAGTAGGGCTTACTTGGGGAATGTTTACTAATCTCAGTTGACAGAAGCATAAAAAAAATATAATTACTTTAAAACATTGACAACTCTAGAGTTAGTACTTTGGTAGGGAATTTGAAAAGTGCCTTGTTTGGCCACATCTCAAAAATGAAGAGGGTTTTAAGCTTATTTTTGATTCTAGACTCCATCCTTAAAATATTGGGACCAAGTTCAGTTATAGACTGTATATACATTATTTTAAAATCAGTCAGATCAAAATGTTTTTTCAATTTATCTCGTTAAATAATATCATTTTGTTCTTATCATCATAACCTTATATTTTTGTTATATTACAGAAGTTTTAGTTTAATTTATTATTAATGAAAATATAAATTTTAATAGATATAATTACCATCAGATGAATTATGAGTATCTTGTGAAACTGTATTGTTATTATGAATAGAGCCTGAAATATACAGAAATTACGATTGTAATTTATATTTAAATTATTAAAGTAAAAACAATTTCTAAAATTGAACACACCATGAATATAAACTCCTGTATTATATAAGAAATTGCTCATAAATACCCAGTACACAATGGCACCACCAAGAAGTATAATAAAAGAAAACCATACAGCTAGCCATTCAGCCCATTTACCCATGAGATGTCTGCATATATCAGAAAATTCTAGTCTCATATTAGATAAATCTGTAAAATTTTTTAAAATACATTGTGATCAAAATAAATCCATATATATAAAGTTAAAACAATGTATTAATGCTCTTATTTCTAAATACTATTTTTATATCACTATAAATAAATTAGAAAAAAAAACAGCTATAGAAAAGATTTTTCTAGTTTTTTTTTTATTTAGCTAATAACAAAATTGAAGAAAAATATTTTTTCTACTTCAAAATTTAAGATATTCAAGATATGAAAATTATTTAACTAAAATTAGTACAATTTTATCTTGTATGATTTTTTATTAGTTACAATTTCATATTCTTTTGCACTTTTATACTATTTGATAAACTCCTATTAACTCTAGTAAATTTAAAAGATTACTCAAAATATTAATATTTGATTTACAATCCAGTATTTCACTGACTCAGATTAAAGTTATAAAAATTGTGAATTGTATGAAATGTTGAGAAAAAAAACTAAATGTAAATTTAAAGTCATAAGTATTATTAAAATTGATTTCTTAAAAGTTTACATAACGTGACCATGTGAGAAATTTCACATAAATAAAAGAAAACTGTGTTTGAAACATTGCTAAATCTCAATGACAAATTTTTGTAAACAAGGATATGATTAAGATTAAATTTTACAATTTTTTAAATATTTACCAATTATTGCTATTATTAATAAAATTTGTGACAAAAAATTTTACTTTAAACTAAAAACAAATTGAATTTTTAATTTATAACTTTTTTAGTATATAAGAAAAATATTTTCAAGTTCAATTTAAAGAAATATATTTTTAAAAAGTTTGCTTTAACAATATTAAAATTTAATTTCTATTGATTTGAAAAAGTTATATTTCAATGAAGAAGTTTTAGTTCAATAAAAATAATTCATTTAATATAGAACAATCAATCAATACTTTAAAGTTTAATTAAATATTTTCAACCAGCAATATTTTTTTATTAAATATTTAAAATTTTATTTTGATGTTGAATAAAAAAAAATTATTTCAAATGCACAAAGTAAAATATTTAGCATAAACTGAAGGAATACTCCAGAATATAAACTGGCAATACTTAAATATTTAACAATAAAATTACATGAGACACTTAAACAATCTTTATACATAAGAACTTTTTAGTAATTCTTAATATATAAAAAAGTATAAATCATATAAATTGTTACATTTTGCATACTATTTGGTTCAGAAAATTTTTTGTAAATAAATAAATCATGTTTTTAAAAGAAGTTAGTTGTTATTATATTTGTCTATATATTTTTTTATAATGATTTATAAAACCTATGAATTACACTGCATATATTTTAAATTAAACTTATATAACATAAAAATTTTACATACCAGTCAATTTTGACATGTTTAAAATTCTATAAGCTGTATAAAAACACAGACAAGCCATAAGTACCATTAATGCTACAGCACATGCAAATCCGGCCTAAAAACAAAGGATTATAAATTATCTTTATACATTTTTTAAAAACATTTTTAAGATGTTTTATAAACCTTTTGTATAGTCCATGGAATGCTAAGCAATGAAGTTCCCATCATTGTGTTCCATATTGCAAATCTGTCAGAATGCAAAAAGTAAATTAATAAATTGCATTTTACCTAATAATACAATTATTTTATACTTACATTGTGATAATACTACTTTGCTTTCCTTTTTTCTTTAATATAAAACTTAGTGGATGAAAGAAAACAAGTGGTACAACATGATCAGGTATACTCTAAAAAATATTTAAACAGATAAAATTTAAAATAATTTGACTGTCAGTATTCTTCTGTACAATTTAAGTTTAAAACAAAAAATAATCAAATCACCTCTATTACTAAAAGTTCAATTTATATAAACTGTTTTGAATGATTTAGTGAGTTCAAAGTGTACAAAATTTTTTTAAAGTTAGTGGAATTAAAAACTTTAAAAATATATTAAACTCCTCAAAAGTTTGACAATTAAATTCCAGCTTCAGTCCTTTACAAGTATATAAAAATACTTTGAGAATACAATTCAAGTTTGTGAAATCTAACCTGACTACCAACATCTGTAATAAGCATGAATTAATTGCGAATAATACAGTCTATTAAAATGTAAAGAATACTTATAATTTCCATGAGAATATAACTTCTATATTTCAGCCATAAAATCCTGACTATTGGTATGGTTGTTAATACTCTATTGTAGAAGATTGCATGAGAAACAAAGACAAGGGATTGATTTTTTTTCTGATTTGACACAGTGAAAAAAGAGCACTTGCAGACATTAAATGGAATATGCTTTGCATCAATCATCATATCTAAGTTATGTTGTTTTAGAAATTGCTTTGTGGTGTCCTAAACAACTTCAATTATAGAAAATAAATGTGCCAAAGGGAAGAAAAATTTGTAAATTTGTAACGTGAATGGAAATAGAATTCTTTTTAGTCATGATTAATGATAAATGGTGCTGTTTAGTTTATGTCTTAATGTCTTTACAAAAAAAGAAGTCCTGGAACATCAATTACTGTGCAAGAAATAAATATGATTGTTTTTCAGTATAATTTTATAAGAATAAGTTAATAAATGTTTATAAAATGATAAAAATGTGGTGATAAATCATTGATACTTTTGACTCATGAAAGTTGATCACATCCCACTATAGTTTGGCCTAGCATGTTCTACAAGTTCATTCAATTCATTCATATAGATAAACATATGTGAGTAAATACACTATCATTTATATTACTGAAACATTATTGCTATTATTTGTAGCTTTATAAGCAAACACAAAGTACAGTCGACCCCCCCATAACACTGTTGATTATTCCGTTTTATATGAATTCCATGTTGTAAGAGTCCCTTAGATTTTACAAATACGTGTGCTGGGCTGTGAATGGCTCACATATTTGTAAAATCTAAGTGACTCGTACAACATGGAATTCATATAAAACGGAATAATCAACAGTGTTATGGGGGGGTCGACTGTACTTTGTGTTTGCTTATAAAGCTACAAATAATAGCAATAATGTTTCAGTAATATAAATGATAGTGTATTTACTCACATATGTTTATCTATATGAATGAATTGAATGAACTTGTAGAACATGCTAGGCCAAACTATAGTGGGATGTGATCAACTTTCATGAGTCAAAAGTATCAATGATTTATCACCACATTTTTATCATTTTATAAACATTTATTAACTTATTCTTATAAAATTATACTGAAAAACAATCATATTTATTTCTTGCACAGTAATTGATGTTCCAGGACTTCTTTTTTTGTAAAGACATTAAGACATAAACTAAACAGCACCATTTATCATTAATCATGACTAAAAAGAATTCTATTTCCATTCACGTTACAAATTTACAAATTTTTCTTCCCTTTGGCACATTTATTTTCTATAATTGAAGTTGTTTAGGACACCACAAAGCAATTTCTAAAACAACATAACTTAGATATGATGATTGATGCAAAGCATATTCCATTTAATGTCTGCAAGTGCTCTTTTTTCACTGTGTCAAATCAGAAAAAAAATCAATCCCTTGTCTTTGTTTCTCATGCAATCTTCTACAATAGAGTATTAACAACCATACCAATAGTCAGGATTTTATGGCTGAAATATAGAAGTTATATTCTCATGGAAATTATAAGTATTCTTTACATTTTAATAGACTGTATTATTCGCAATTAATTCATGCTTATTACAGATGTTGGTAGTCAGGTTAGATTTCACAAACTTGAATTGTATTCTCAAAGTATTTTTATATACTTGTAAAGGACTGAAGCTGGAATTTAATTGTCAAACTTTTGAGGAGTTTAATATATTTTTAAAGTTTTTAATTCCACTAACTTTAAAAAAATTTTGTACACTTTGAACTCACTAAATCATTCAAAACAGTTTATATAAATTGAACTTTTAGTAATAGAGGTGATTTGATTATTTTTTGTTTTAAACTTAAATTGTACAGAAGAATACTGACAGTCAAATTATTTTAAATTTTATCTGTTTAAATATTTTTTAGAGTATACCTGATCATGTTGTACCACTTGTTTTCTTTCATCCACTAAGTTTTATATTAAAGAAAAAAGGAAAGCAAAGTAGTATTATCACAATGTAAGTATAAAATAATTGTATTATTAGGTAAAATGCAATTTATTAATTTACTTTTTGCATTCTGACAGATTTGCAATATGGAACACAATGATGGGAACTTCATTGCTTAGCATTCCATGGACTATACAAAAGGTTTATAAAACATCTTAAAAATGTTTTTAAAAAATGTATAAAGATAATTTATAATCCTTTGTTTTTAGGCCGGATTTGCATGTGCTGTAGCATTAATGGTACTTATGGCTTGTCTGTGTTTTTATACAGCTTATAGAATTTTAAACATGTCAAAATTGACTGGTATGTAAAATTTTTATGTTATATAAGTTTAATTTAAAATATATGCAGTGTAATTCATAGGTTTTATAAATCATTATAAAAAAATATATAGACAAATATAATAACAACTAACTTCTTTTAAAAACATGATTTATTTATTTACAAAAAATTTTCTGAACCAAATAGTATGCAAAATGTAACAATTTATATGATTTATACTTTTTTATATATTAAGAATTACTAAAAAGTTCTTATGTATAAAGATTGTTTAAGTGTCTCATGTAATTTTATTGTTAAATATTTAAGTATTGCCAGTTTATATTCTGGAGTATTCCTTCAGTTTATGCTAAATATTTTACTTTGTGCATTTGAAATAATTTTTTTTTATTCAACATCAAAATAAAATTTTAAATATTTAATAAAAAAATATTGCTGGTTGAAAATATTTAATTAAACTTTAAAGTATTGATTGATTGTTCTATATTAAATGAATTATTTTTATTGAACTAAAACTTCTTCATTGAAATATAACTTTTTCAAATCAATAGAAATTAAATTTTAATATTGTTAAAGCAAACTTTTTAAAAATATATTTCTTTAAATTGAACTTGAAAATATTTTTCTTATATACTAAAAAAGTTATAAATTAAAAATTCAATTTGTTTTTAGTTTAAAGTAAAATTTTTTGTCACAAATTTTATTAATAATAGCAATAATTGGTAAATATTTAAAAAATTGTAAAATTTAATCTTAATCATATCCTTGTTTACAAAAATTTGTCATTGAGATTTAGCAATGTTTCAAACACAGTTTTCTTTTATTTATGTGAAATTTCTCACATGGTCACGTTATGTAAACTTTTAAGAAATCAATTTTAATAATACTTATGACTTTAAATTTACATTTAGTTTTTTTTCTCAACATTTCATACAATTCACAATTTTTATAACTTTAATCTGAGTCAGTGAAATACTGGATTGTAAATCAAATATTAATATTTTGAGTAATCTTTTAAATTTACTAGAGTTAATAGGAGTTTATCAAATAGTATAAAAGTGCAAAAGAATATGAAATTGTAACTAATAAAAAATCATACAAGATAAAATTGTACTAATTTTAGTTAAATAATTTTCATATCTTGAATATCTTAAATTTTGAAGTAGAAAAAATATTTTTCTTCAATTTTGTTATTAGCTAAATAAAAAAAAAACTAGAAAAATCTTTTCTATAGCTGTTTTTTTTTCTAATTTATTTATAGTGATATAAAAATAGTATTTAGAAATAAGAGCATTAATACATTGTTTTAACTTTATATATATGGATTTATTTTGATCACAATGTATTTTAAAAAATTTTACAGATTTATCTAATATGAGACTAGAATTTTCTGATATATGCAGACATCTCATGGGTAAATGGGCTGAATGGCTAGCTGTATGGTTTTCTTTTATTATACTTCTTGGTGGTGCCATTGTGTACTGGGTATTTATGAGCAATTTCTTATATAATACAGGAGTTTATATTCATGGTGTGTTCAATTTTAGAAATTGTTTTTACTTTAATAATTTAAATATAAATTACAATCGTAATTTCTGTATATTTCAGGCTCTATTCATAATAACAATACAGTTTCACAAGATACTCATAATTCATCTGATGGTAATTATATCTATTAAAATTTATATTTTCATTAATAATAAATTAAACTAAAACTTCTGTAATATAACAAAAATATAAGGTTATGATGATAAGAACAAAATGATATTATTTAACGAGATAAATTGAAAAAACATTTTGATCTGACTGATTTTAAAATAATGTATATACAGTCTATAACTGAACTTGGTCCCAATATTTTAAGGATGGAGTCTAGAATCAAAAATAAGCTTAAAACCCTCTTCATTTTTGAGATGTGGCCAAACAAGGCACTTTTCAAATTCCCTACCAAAGTACTAACTCTAGAGTTGTCAATGTTTTAAAGTAATTATATTTTTTTTATGCTTCTGTCAACTGAGATTAGTAAACATTCCCCAAGTAAGCCCTACTGTAATAAATGTAAATAAAGTTTTATTCACTTAGATTTTGCATTATCCATCTGTTTTACAGTAAATTAAAGAATAGTTGGAAAGCAAGAATTTTTTAATGTAAATTTACTTTGATCAACATTTCATTTTTGACAGAATTAAGCAGAATAATTTACAAGAACTACTCAAAATATTTTCCACTAATGCATACAACAACCCAGAGACTTGCACACACTGGCTAACACATTCAGAAAACCAATTTTCAATACTTAAAAAGCTTCAGTTTGTTTTCAATATGTATTGGTAACATATGAGTGGAAAACAAACAATGATATCATTTTGGCAGGCCATATCTCAAAAATAAAGTGGATTTTGTAAAACTTTTATAAGGATTTTAGGCTTATTTTTGACCTTAGAATCTATCACTAAAATATTGGCAGAGAGTTCAAGTTATACCCTGTATAATTAGTTTTATCAGATATCCAATATTTAACATGTCATCTGAATATTAGTTTTTCAAAACCACAATGCAGCGTAATAATCAACACTTGGCATAACTCGTTCATTTATTTCAGTTTTTGTTGAGACGCGTTCTTACACACGTTTCGGGCTTCATTTTGCCCCTCTTCAGTCAACTAGAAACATATAAAACCAACCTTATACACATTATGACCCGACATATGAATTTAAAAATCATCATTAAAATTTTTTATATTTTACGAGTAACATACCTTTTTAAAACCCTTTTAAAATCAAAAATTCCATCCTTTGACGTATTTCCACAAGCGGGAATCATACACTATACTTTACTAGACTTCGAAAGTTATTCACAGAAAATTCCTAAACAACACAGCTAAACTTCACAGCATTTAATGGTGTTATTCTTTTATGGTGATATGCATAATAATGCTTCCTTCCAAAAAAATTTTTTTCCTTTAAAAGTCTTCAAAAGAACCCAGTTTTTAATTAAACTCAAACATTAACTTAAATATTAGCTGTATATTGAATTTATCCTTACATAATTATTCACAGAACGTTTCCAGAAATATTGAGGAGAACTTCCAATGGGCATTCAGCACAGTTCTTTTTTAATATTTACACTAATTCGTATATACTTTATATTATTAAACTTACTTTTTATCAATCTTTCTATCCTTATTTGTTGTTAATAATTCTTACCTAAGTGGCTAAACTTCACTCTTTTGATTTTTATTCTTTCTTGAAAGAATAAAAATCAAAAGAGTGAAGTTTATTGATAAGACTTTTAGGTTATTTGCTTTACAATTTTACCCATTTCAAACCAAAAATGAAATGTGTGAATCTTTCAGATTAGCAGCAAAATGAATAGATGTATATACTGAAATGATAACTGAAGCAATGCCTTTCTTTATACCTAAATGACGAGATTCTTTTCAGACAATAATAAGTACAATTAATACAATAATAAGTACAAAATAATAAGACAGCAATAAGTATATGGTTGCATTGTCATTCTTCAATACTAGACATACAAAACATTGTACACAGTCATCCTTTGATTCCTGGCATAATTCTGATAGATATTTTGAAAGATCCATTAAAAATAACAATCTCTGAAAACTCTCACTTCTACATGATTTGCAGATGCCATACTGTCTGAGTCATCTTTATTCTGATAATTTTAAGTTGTAAAGTTAAATGTTTAACTATAATATATTTGTTATAAAAATTACTATAATCATAATACAGTAGAACCTCGAAAACTCGACCTAATGTGGACCGAAGGGTGGCCGAGTTTGTGAAAATGCCGAGTTATCGGGAATGGGGTTAAAAAAAATAAGTACGAGTATTTCCTCAGAAAATACTGTACTGTACTTGTACAGTATTTACTTGTACAGAATATAACAGAGAATAAACTGCCCAAATACCCTTAAACAAAGGAAAAGTACGTCCTTTATGAAGGCATAGAGCCACTACATGAAAATGAAAATTAATGAATACACTGTGTACAGTAATTTACCTGATAAGACAGACCTCANCTCGGGAGGACTTTCTATAAGAAACGTACCCATAGAAAACTTTCGAATGGCGATAGAAAGATAGTTTTGGCTTGTAAAATTAAAATCAATAACAAATCTTAGAATAAAGCATGCTTTTCAATATGGCATATTTACCATGATGAATATCACATGTTCTTCTAATAGTCGTTGAAACATGAAATTTATTATCTCTTCGACTGTTATCATTTGAGGCCATTTTCTGGGTTTGTAAATAAAATAAAATAAAAATAAATCTGTTCTACATTAAAAACGAAAAAAAAAGCGAAGAATAAGTAATAAAATATCTTTTATGAAAAGTTTAGTAATTCCGGAGTCTTCTAATGAAATAAATCAGTGGTGCCGATTAGCGGGACAAATTGCGCATAAATGATAGGAAAACGGGCCACAAATGTTTTATAGATTCCATATATAAGCTACCAGAAGTGAACCTATTTATATCATTTACAAATGATGTGTCAAATATGTTTGAGGACCAGATTAAAAATGCTGCGGGTCAGATTTAGCCAGCGGGACGTAGTTTGAGCACTATTGCAGCAGATTTCAAAACCTCTGATTAAAAGAACTAATCAATAATGAAGTGTCTATTTGACAAATTAACATATGTTTCTTTCCATTAATATTTTGATAGTACACTAACGTAATTGTACACTAACGTAGAGAATCCTAATCAGGGAATTAAAAGATTATAGCCCTCACAAAAATGGATTATTCAATATTAATTTTAATATAATCGTATATAATTTTTATTATTTTTCTAAAAATGTTTGTATTAAAAAATAGACTATATAAAAACATAAAAAACTGCTGTAATTTGTGTTATTTGTTAAGCTTCTATCAGATTTAATTGTTAGCTATGCTATTGGGTACACGTTGAAAAATCTAAATCGAATTCTCGATTCCAATGAAATCCAAACTTATCGCGAATTAAATAAGTGGGCCTACGTAAAATCCAAAATTCAAATGATTAAAGCATAATATAGACAACATTCATCGAAATTTAGGAATAATTTGCAGAAATCCTTTCTCAGAAATGATATAAAATTGTTACCTTTACCTCCTTTCGTAGTTACAATATAAACTAACCTCTGTCAAACTGTTATTCATCTCGATAAATCAAAGCTGCGTGTCTAATCTTAAAAACTACAAGACCTGTTTAACCTTATTGTGAAATAATATAAAGAATCGAATGTACTGTATGGTACTTATATACCGGTACTTCATAACATTGCGATTAATTTTCGGCAAAGTAATAATAGTAAAATCTTGCGTTTTATATTATATTAAATTTTATTTTTGCAGAAAATCTAGTATCTTATCTTTTGTGCAATTAGATGAAAGTTTATAATGGTATTTCTTATATTATCTCATATGAAAAAGTTATCTATGCATTCGTTTACATGTAGGATAAGTTGTGGCATATTTTTGACAATCTTTTTTCTTATAAATTTTGTCGCATTTATTTTATAAATATCCTGAATGTTCGATAAGAAAAATTTTTTATTTTAAAGACAATAATTTTATAAAATATATAGGAGAGTAAAATAAAAAAAATAAAAAAATAATTTCTATATGTATGCTCTTATAATTTGTTTTATATATGACATAATATCTAAATATAGAATGTAACTTGTCAGAATGTATATACCATATTAAATAATTTAAAAAATTATTGAAACATTTTAAACTATTTTATTCTGAATAAATATGTGGATAAAGCCATTGCAATTATTTTCACAATGCTATATTTAAAGTTTTATAAATTTAAAAATAGCTAAATTCTCAATTTTTGCATTATTTTATGTCTTTATACTATATAATTTATGATAACACATTTCTTCTGATGCCAAAATTTGTAATTGCCTAACAATACTTCTAGAAGTATGATTATTTAAATGGAATTTACAGTTTAATATTTTAAGATTAGTTGAAGATTTTTTAAAATTTGCAAATCATTAATGAATTAATTTATTTAGTAAAGTTATAGTAAATTTAGGATAAGGGCTGATTAAAAGGTTATATTGATCTGATATTTCAGATGATTGATTTTCACTCCAGCTTTCTTTTTATCAGTTTATCAATTTTTATCAATTTGTACTTATTAATTGTATCCAAGCAATTTCAATACCACAATAGATTTTACTTCTAATGCTGGACATTGGTCATATCTAAAACTATTTTTAAATTGAAAGTTAAGTCTCATTAAAAATAGTCTAAATTAAAATATTAAATACAGTAGTCTATATAATATTAAATTTTATTATATTANACTGCATATATTTTAAATTAAACTTATATAACATAAAAATTTTACATACCAGTCAATTTTGACATGTTTAAAATTCTATAAGCTGTATAAAAACACAGACAAGCCATAAGTACCATTAATGCTACAGCACATGCAAATCCGGCCTAAAAACAAAGGATTATAAATTATCTTTATACATTTTTTAAAAACATTTTTAAGATGTTTTATAAACCTTTTGTATAGTCCATGGAATGCTAAGCAATGAAGTTCCCATCATTGTGTTCCATATTGCAAATCTGTCAGAATGCAAAAAGTAAATTAATAAATTGCATTTTACCTAATAATACAATTATTTTATACTTACATTGTGATAATACTACTTTGCTTTCCTTTTTTCTTTAATATAAAACTTAGTGGATGAAAGAAAACAAGTGGTACAACATGATCAGGTATACTCTAAAAAATATTTAAACAGATAAAATTTAAAATAATTTGACTGTCAGTATTCTTCTGTACAATTTAAGTTTAAAACAAAAAATAATCAAATCACCTCTATTACTAAAAGTTCAATTTATATAAACTGTTTTGAATGATTTAGTGAGTTCAAAGTGTACAAAATTTTTTTAAAGTTAGTGGAATTAAAAACTTTAAAAATATATTAAACTCCTCAAAAGTTTGACAATTAAATTCCAGCTTCAGTCCTTTACAAGTATATAAAAATACTTTGAGAATACAATTCAAGTTTGTGAAATCTAACCTGACTACCAACATCTGTAATAAGCATGAATTAATTGCGAATAATACAGTCTATTAAAATGTAAAGAATACTTATAATTTCCATGAGAATATAACTTCTATATTTCAGCCATAAAATCCTGACTATTGGTATGGTTGTTAATACTCTATTGTAGAAGATTGCATGAGAAACAAAGACAAGGGATTGATTTTTTTTCTGATTTGACACAGTGAAAAAAGAGCACTTGCAGACATTAAATGGAATATGCTTTGCATCAATCATCATATCTAAGTTATGTTGTTTTAGAAATTGCTTTGTGGTGTCCTAAACAACTTCAATTATAGAAAATAAATGTGCCAAAGGGAAGAAAAATTTGTAAATTTGTAACGTGAATGGAAATAGAATTCTTTTTAGTCATGATTAATGATAAATGGTGCTGTTTAGTTTATGTCTTAATGTCTTTACAAAAAAAGAAGTCCTGGAACATCAATTACTGTGCAAGAAATAAATATGATTGTTTTTCAGTATAATTTTATAAGAATAAGTTAATAAATGTTTATAAAATGATAAAAATGTGGTGATAAATCATTGATACTTTTGACTCATGAAAGTTGATCACATCCCACTATAGTTTGGCCTAGCATGTTCTACAAGTTCATTCAATTCATTCATATAGATAAACATATGTGAGTAAATACACTATCATTTATATTACTGAAACATTATTGCTATTATTTGTAGCTTTATAAGCAAACACAAAGTACAGTCGACCCCCCCATAACACTGTTGATTATTCCGTTTTATATGAATTCCATGTTGTAAGAGTCCCTTAGATTTTACAAATACGTGTGCTGGGCTGTGAATGGCTCACATATTTGTAAAATCTAAGTGACTCGTACAACATGGAATTCATATAAAACGGAATAATCAACAGTGTTATGGGGGGATTGACTGTATAATAACTTAAAGATTTTAAAGAAAAGTTTTTAACAATATCAAAAGCTTTTCAATTCTATATGTATAATTTTCTTTAAATTCGAGTAATCACAAACTTTATTTCATAATTTATTCATATTTTAACATTTGGTAATTAATCTTTCATATTTTAATGCTTAATTCATATTTAAAATTAATAAATTATTTCAAAGTTTATTTTATCAAAATTAAAAATTTTATGAAATTAATATGCAGGTAGTTTTTATGGTTATTTTTATTCCTGAAGTATAAATTGAATATATGAAAAGTTATAAAAACTAGATCAGTATAATTTTTAATAAATCGACAATAAAAATTTATAACATATTTTACCAGCGTATCTATTCCAGGATCTGCTAATCTATTATAATATTTATATCTTTGGTATGAAGCTGCTTCCACACTGTCATGACAGACACTGCCTTCTTTGTTAAAAGGATAGTGATATGGTCTCCTGAAAATTTGAATAAAAAAATAAAATAATTAAATTTGATTTCAAAGTTATGCTATTAACACATCATGAAAATAAATTTTATCAATATCAGTAATAGCTAAAATTTTACTGATATCTAAAAATCATCAATTATTATTACCAGTACATTTTATTATATGGTGAAAATATATTATAGTAGCCCCTCTTATATTGTGCATGTAGGGAGACAAACCAAATAAGCACTGTATCAGATGGCATGTTGTAACCAATGTATCTATCTATTATTGGCTAAAGAGCTTTTATATTTAGAAAACAAAAAATAATATAATATATCTGAATGAGCAATACAATGAGGGGCTATTGTAGTTATTTAAATTTAGGTAACTACCATATATGTTTACAAATTCAAATTCTGATTAAATAGAACAATAGACAATGTATTTGAGTTTTATTTTATAAAATGTGGTATAATAAGTTTGATATCTTCTTTACATAAATTATATAGCAAAATAATTATTTTTTATGATGCTTTGTAAACTAAATATAAACAAAGTAAAGAATTGTGGTAATATAAAATTCATAATTTAAATTTAAGTACACATCATAAACAAAAACTTACCTAGTACTATGTCACTAAGAACTAGTATAGGAAAATTAATTTCTCTTTAGTAATTACAAATTTCTATATGGAAGTGAATCCAATTTTTAAAGTTAAGATATAAGAAATTTATAAACAAAATACTATTTAATTTAACATAATTTTTCAGATTTTTGGTTTCACTTTTCTAGTACATTAATGATACCATTTATTGATTCATAATTAACATAAGTATATTACAATTTATAGGCTTATTAGTGATGACAACTGACCTTTCATACATTTTGTAAGTTACTGTACCCTTGTCATATTTATGTTCCATAATCACTAAAATAAGACTTTTGGAAATGTATCTTAAAGAAACTTATAAAAGGGGAAAAATTTAAGTTTTTAATTGAGAATTTCTGTGTATATCCTGTCTACTTGGACCTTATTTATTAATAGGTCTTATTATACTGGTGTGTTTCCGATGAACAAATTGAAAACTTAGTCAAAAGTCAAAATAAAGATATTTAGTTTAATCCCAGAATTTTATTCAATCTGGTATTATGTAATTTCAAACCAATTTGAGATCATTTAATCATTTTGACTAATTTATTCAAATTATTTGTTGCATCAATGATTCAGTTAATTATTATAATAATACAAATCAAATGGAATTATATAATTTGATTTTATATTTTAAAAAAATTTGATATATGAAGTTTTAACGTATACATATCATCATTATAAATTATAAACTATTTTTTTCTGTCTTGTACTTTAAATTTAAACATTATATTTAAATGAAATGCATTAATGGAAAAAAAAATTGTAACATAACACCCTAAGAATGTGTTTTAATTTACGCAAGATTACACTTATACACTATCACTTGCAATTAAGGTAGAATCTACTTTCATCACTAAATACTATTGAGTGTAATTCCATCCTCCTCTCACAGCACAACTGGGGCTGTCTGCCAGTGTAAATGAGTCTGGTCTGTTTAGTCCTACTGCAAGTAAATGATTCACAGTAATCTGTATTGATATCCCTAGGAGCACATTTGCTCTTATGATGCTTTGTTCTTGTCAATCATCTGAACTAAGTGACAATCCAAAACTTTGTCTACAGGTATGGGAATGTTCAATTGATCACTGATGTCAACATAAAAACCCACAGATTGTCAAACATATGCAGCAATCCTGCAATAAGTCCATCCAGTCTCTCAAATACCTTCAATAAATCCCCCTCTCAAATAACTGTAATTGCATAAAAGGAGCATATGCACTTGTCCTGACATGACAACTGCTTGCACTTCACTATTATGCAAAAGCTACACCATATTAAACCTTACTGTACCACATATCAATGTCACCAGCTCATACACAGAGAGCACAATGATTTGAGTGATACAACACTATGTGATAACTTTTGAAATTTAATCAGAAAATCTACCACTCAGCATGGTTAAGCTATACCAATATAGGCCTACATTTACATCATCTTTCAGTGTGCTTTAATTTCTTTCCTCTTAGTGTATAGAATTTATGTAAGTAAATAATTATATATATACATACATACATACATAAATATAGAGAGAGAATTTTCCAGAAATTATAAGCTCTCAATAGGCCTATATTAAAAAAAAGGCCTTTTTTATTTAAGAAAAGGTTTCTCTCAATTGCTCACTAGAAAGAACCTTATAACTTAAATATTACATATATTTAACAAATAATGTAATACATATATATATATATATAGGTATTACATTAATATATGTTAAATATATAT